TGTGTGCATGTGCGTGCGTGCGTGCGTGCGTGTTCGTGTGCGTGTTTGTGTGCGTCCGATTTTGCATGTGTGTGTTCATAATTACACTGTGTCATCAGATTTCTTTGATAATGACTTATGAATGTTGCCAAAAGACATTAAACTTTTCCCATTCAAATTCTTCCCAGAAACCAATAAAATGGTCCCAACCTTCAAAAATTCGAAGTGATATTTTAAAAATATGATTCTATAATAATATACAAGACTCACCGGAAAGAAGTAAGACCCCGGATATTTGAAGCTCTTATTTCATAAAATATCATTCACTAAGGATGATGTTTAACAATCAGAAATTTTCCTTTTAACTGTGGCAAACATTTGCCTCTTCATTTTCTTCGTTCACGGTGATACAGATTCTTATAAAATTCATGCCTATCACAATTCCTTGAATATAGTTTCTCCTTTGAAAACATACTTATCGTAATCTAACTTTATTCTGTCATAATTCACAGCTTGATTCAACTAACATTCACTGATTCGATTGACCTAGAATTCAACCATGACGGATATTGTACAGATGAATACTTCAAGATCATAACCAAAGATCAGCCCATTTCACAAGTCCTCCTGAACAAAAGTTCACGAGCCGATGACGACACCAACGAGACTGCTCCTCTGCGGCGAGAAAGAGAAAATTGAAAGGTCAGTCGCTGATGAATAAGCGCTACCTTTGACGTTGATCTTTTTGACCAGAGCCACATCAGTCTAGCTCTTCTCACCCCAGGCGTGTAAGTCGATCTTTGATGATAGCGTTCAATATCTATGAATTTGACTTGTTTGATTAGAGGCAATTTAGTAGGAATTTGCGCGGTAGAACGATCATTTGATTCCAGGACTCAATCAAAGAAGACTTGCACTGATTGCCCGAGAAGTAATGTTTGAATCATTTGGCAGTATTAGAATTCTTGTGCTAAAATAGAAAACATTTTTATTAAAGCCTAACTCAAGAACAATGTTAAAAATTCGCTATTGAAAGAATTTAGAAAGAAAAAAAATCTAATATTCTAGCTTACATGGTTTCAATCGAACAAATGTGAGATTCTTTGTGATTTTACCCTAACTACGTAATGTCTGAGGTATGGTCCTGCAAAATATTGCTATCTATGGTGAAGCACCGAATTTACTGACGTTTCCGAAACTTATCTGTCTATATCTCTGAGATGAGGTATTATGATTACTTGCAATATTTACATTATTTTTACTGTTACCCTTATCATCATTGCCATATTCACAATGTTTCCGCCGTTGTACGCTCCGGCCTTCTTCATGTGATTGGAATTTCGAGCCGAACCCTTTATTTCGTCCCCCGGGTTAGATTGTTCTAGTTCCACGTGCCATGCCTCTTCCGGATATCTATTTTTTTTTTCTCTTTAACTCAATTCTCCAAATTTTTTGGTCCACCACTGCTGTGGCCTGGTATTGAACTCACAACACTTTTAGGTCTAGTCAGCGAATAAAACGTTAATAAGATCCAAAGGTGGTCAATGAGATTGAAAGTGAGAGAAAAGAGTGAGTGTAGGGGGAATTGTGGAAAGGAAAAAAGATCAGGGTTCAGGGCAACAGAAGATGACGTATGACGCTGCATTTAAATTTTTGAAGATTGTAATCATCAGGGAAGTAAGTGAGAGGAAGAAATTTTCAATGTCGAGTAATGCTAGGAAAGAAACTCTTGGAGTAGAAGTGGCGGTTACATTTAACTATTTCAAAAGTAAAAGGGTGGGACCTAGATGCCAATCTAGTGGCACGCTGATATTCATTTAATCGGGGCACCAGGAAAAAAGCTAGTCAGAGCAGTTTGCCATAAAAATATTTGTAGAATAAGAACGAGGGAAGACACATCGTAGCTAAATTTAAATTTAATTTATATTAAATGGCGAAATACATTACCAAATCTATATTTTAACAAATCTATTTTCATGAAAAGTTTCCAGTTCTCAAAATTTAAAAACATTGTCGGGACTTCTATATTTTAAAATATATACTGTCGATACGGAAATCTAATCTTTTATTTTCAACGCATTTTGAAGGCTTATACGAGGATTTGTCTTTGAGTCACTTTAGAAAAGAAAAAAACTTCTTACTTTCGAGCCATTCTGATATGGATAAGAGGATTTGCCTTTAATTCCATAGAAAAAAAAACTGAGAAAATACATTAACAACTTTCAACTCGAATTAAGAGTTAAAAAAAGATACTAGAATAAATAATAACGACTTTTTTTAAAAGTCACTCATTTTCTTTCTTTTTTAATCACGAGAAACGCCAGCTTAGGAAAAAAAAGTCCTAAGATTCATTATGTAAGCATACATACAAATACACGGACGCACATTTCATTCTCTGGTTTTCGGATCTGATGAATCCTTAAATGGCGAAATGCGTTATCAAAACTATTTCTAAACAAATTTGTTTACAGGAAACGTAACCAACTATCAAATTTTAAAAAATTGGTCGGGATTTCTATATCCTCAATTTTAAAGCACACACACATACACACATATATATATAAATTTATTGATTTATTTATACGTTTTTTTTTGTAGATACAAATATTTAAGTAAATGCTCTGTTTATAATAAACAGTATTAAAGGCATTTACCAGCCTGAATGTCCAAGAACATTTTATAGGAAATATGCGTCTTCCGAAAATGTTCGCATCTATCTATCTATCTATCTATCTATCTATATCTATATCTATCTATCTATCTATCTAATAATAATAATAATAATAATAATAAATAATGACACAGATGGCTAAGGCCTAATGAAAAAGAATTACAGTCAATTGCTGGAGTTCAACTCTTTGATATACGTCATCAGTGATGTTTTCCCCCTGAATCATAAGGGGTTTCGGATCTTAAAACATCATCCTCTTTCTCCACGGCGGCCCAATCGATATTGGTCAGAACTTGTGTGCCAGCCGTCAGCTTCAACTTTCCTCATAATTGAGCGCTCTCCTAACCCGCTGCGGAGAGAGAACTCCTTTAACAGAGAATGAAAATATCTATCAATCTATCTATGGAGAGTTTGAAAAAGAGAAATAATTCAATGATTATGGTTGTCTCTTTTGTACAAGCCAAGTATTCTACTTCTATTTATTTATTTATTATTTTGATATATAGATAAATATGTATGTCTATATACACAATGATCTGACTTTATTAATTCAGGAGAGTAGCAAATCATATAGGGATATATCTGATATATATGACTTGTATAAATGATTGGAAATTGTGGAGAGCCATGATCGCCTACGTTCAGAAGGGACACGGGAAATAGAAGAAGAACGAGATTGCGTAAATGGGTGGCAGAATAAGGATTAAGAGAGAGAGCAAAAAGGCAAAATTTACTAAGTGATACAAAGGACTGGAAATTGTGGAGAGCCATGATCGCCTACGTTCAGAAGGGACATAGGACATAGAAGAAGAATGAGATTGCGTATATGGTTGGCAGAACAGGGATTAAGAGAGATAGCAAAAAGGCAAAATTTAATAAGAGATACATAGGACGGGAAATTGTGGAGAGACATGATCGCCCACGTATTGAAGAAAAGCGACATAAAAAGATTGCTGAAAAAAGAACATTTTGTTGTGTAATATAAGTATTTTTTTTTTATTCTTAGTCTACGGATTTCTCTTTACAAAGAAAATAAATGTAATATCAGTCCTCCTATATGGCAGCGAATTCAGAACAATCTCTCCACAGATGAAAACGAGATTTGAGCCAACAGATATGTGGTTCTACAGAAGGATTTTGGGAATACCATGGATTGAACATGTGAGCGACGACGGGGGAGGGGGGTTAAAGATAATAAATGTAAAAATCACATTTATACGTAACATCAGAAAGTGACAATTTAAATTTCAAGTGTACATAATGAGAAAAGAGGGTTTGGAAAATTTGATACTCATAAGACATATTGAAGTCAGACGGACAAATGAAAACAGCACATAACCTGCCTAGAGAGTTTCTGTATATAGAGGGCAAAAGAGTCTAGTAGATATAACAAAATTTACCAAGATAATGGAAGTTGTAAGGAGCAATGATTGCTAACGTCTTGAAGAGGCATAGTTCATAGAAGTCTACAGATTTATTGATGTGTCTATATATTCAGTGTTATGCATTCATATCTATGTCATTGTGAACTAAACTATACGCCCAGCAAAAGACGTACGCATGATAATTCTCTTTCGAATACACATCAAGGAATTTCGAAGTTGTCATTTAATTAGTCTTATTATTTTATTTCCATATTGTTTTTCTTGTGCTTCCAAAATTAATTTTATTTACATAATTTTATTTTACGCATTAGCTTTTTTAAAATTCATTTCAAAACAGAGAAACTAATAATTAAAAAAGGAAATAAAAAATAAATATTAATTTTATAAAACGCTTTGCTTTCTTCATGTTCTGTTTTAGGTTTTCCTCTATTGATATTTATTTGGGTTTAGATTTTTCAGGGACTAGGTTAATGCGATCCCTTCTTTCAAAATAATCCTTTCCTTAATGTAGCTCCTTCTTCTTCTTCTTCTTCTTCTTCTTCTTCTTCTTCTACTTCTACTTCTTCTTCTTCTTCTTCTTCTTCTTCTTCTTCTTCTTCTTCTTCTTCTTCCATTCCGTACCAACCCAACCTCGACCCAGAGTCTGTCCATCTTTCTCCCTCATCTTTGCAAGACATTAATGTAGAAGGAAGTGCGTGTAATAGAGGGAAAAGAGGCCAGGTATTTTCTCATTATCCACACAGCAGGACATGGAAAACGCTTGAAAACGGTCATTTTGTTCATTTTGTTCTTTTTCCCTAACTAGCAGCACCACTTTTAACATCATCATAACAATCATTGTCGTAGTCATATACGTTGTCGTCGTCATTGTTAGCAGTCAGTGTCTCTGACATTGCAACCCAATTTAATGGAGTTTTGGGGGTTAAAATTTTGGAGAGGGAGCTTGTAGATTCCGCAAGGCTTTCTTATCCTTTTTCAATGCTCTCATGGCTTATTGGCGCACAAGATTCATCATTATTAAGGCTAAAGGCACCACGTAATGCAGATAGATCGAAAGAGCGATATTGACTGTGAAAGAAAGAAAGAAAGAAAGAAAGAAAGAAAGAAAGAAAGAAAGAAAAGATAATGGAGTAACAAAGTGAATCAGAACGAAAACCTTAAGGAATATTAAAACAAAATAGCACCAATAATAACATCAAAACTGAAAATACAAAAAAGAAGCATTTAAAGATAGTCCACATATGAAATTGATGAAGAGGAAGACAATGATTAAAAGATTAAAAATATCAAAACTTGAGGAATTAGCAAGATACAGAGAAAAGAAATGCCAAGAAAATATAGTGAAAAACCAAGGGAAATAAAAAGAAAGTAAGGTGAGAGGTAAAAGATGAGAAGTGAAAATCTGATGGAAAAGGAAAAGTGAAAGAAAGGAAGAGGAATAAGAAAAGAGAGGTAAGTGAAAAGACAGAGAAAACCAGTGCAAACAGATAAGAGAGAGATAGCGAGGGCAAAGAGAAAACAGAAGGAAAGAACGCCGACAGAAAAAGAGAGAGTAAAGTGGAAGAACAGAGAAAGAAATTGCAAACAAAATAGAGAGAAAGCAAGTGAAAAACGAACAGAGAGAGAAAACCAAAAATAATGAGAAAAAAAGAAGAGAAGAAATCAAAATAGAAATAGAAAATAGAGAGAAAACAATTGGAAAAAAGAAGAAAACGAGAGAAAGCGTGTAAAACGAGAAAAGAATGAAATCGCAAGTGACAAAGAGAAGAAACATTTGAAACAGAGAAAGCAAGTAGCAAGAAAAAAGTTGAAGGAAAAAAAATATGAGAACAGAATAAAATTATAAGAAGAGAAAGGGAGACAGAGAAAGAGAGAGGGAGAAATAATCATGTAAAAGGAAAAGAAAGATTGACATAAAAAAAACAAGAGGAAATAGAGGGTACAAGTAGAAAGAGAAAGGAAATGATTTAAAAATCGGGGTGAACCAAATTATATTCAACATACTCTTGTCTTTGTTAAAGAAGATAAGGTTGTCCACATGCTTGAATAGGGTTACGTAATCTGGTCCTCAGTAAAGGATGAACCCGAAATGCGATTTGCAGGTCAGGAACACTAGAATCAAGAATACGCGGAAGTTTAAATATCTGGGAAGCGTTTTGACAGAGGACGGTGAGTGCGACACTGAGATCCGTAGACGTATTGGGAGGGTCAGAGACGCATTCCAAAAACTGGGCAGCGTATTGCGAGACAGGAGGATCTCTTTGGTAACAAAGAAAAGAATACTGAGCTATTACGTGACATATGTCCTTATTTACGGCAGCGAATGTTGGACGATTTTCTCAAAATTGAAGAAGAGACTCGAGGCGACGGAGATATGGTTCTACAGAAGGATGATAAGGATATGATGGACCGAGAGTGTGAGTAACGATGAGGTCTTAAAGAGGTTACAAACAAGGAGAAGGCTCATGTATAACATCAGGAAGAGTCAGCTGAAGTTTCTGGAATGCATAATGAGGGCCTGGAGAATGTGATACTCACGGGTCGAATACAGAGAAAGAGAGACAAGAGAAAACATCGCATGAAATACCTAGCGGGCTTGAGCGAATGGATGAGAGAAGTTGGTTGGGGAGATGGCAGAGGGAAGGAAGTTTTTATGGACTGCAAGGGATAGCGGGAGGTAGAGTCATGATCGCCTATGACCTGAAAGGACATGTCACATAAAAAGAAAAGAATCAGGTTATAATATATATATATATATATATATATATATATATATATATATGTAAGCAAATATATGGATATAGATCCGAGAGTATGAAGGAAAATATATACGGAAAAAACAAACAAAAATCTTTATATGCAATTATGCTTGTTCTTATGTACATCGTCTTTGTCATGTTGAATTGATAATGTTAATTATATTTTATGAATATGTCCTGAAGATGGTTTATTAGACCGAAACGTCCGACGTTGACATATTAACATTAAAACAGCATAATTGTATATAAGGATTTTTGTTTGTTTTTTCCGTATATATTTTTTTCATATATATATATATATATATATATATATATATATATATATATATATATATATATACACGTATGGACGGAGGAAAGTGTCGCGTTCAGTACCCGTGGAATAAAGAGAATACACTGGACTGGAGAGTTAAACATCTGGAAGAATCAATGCATATCACTGGCTAAGAGAACCTCCTTACTTACATAGAAATAAATCCGACATGAGAGCCGCTATTAAATAAAGAAAGAGAAATGACAGTAAGTCTTCAACAGCAGTAGCAGCAGATATCAAGCATGACAGGCAAGAAGCAACAGCAACAGTAATCAACAGGAAGTTTAGGTTTAAGTCTCCTAGTTAACCACAGAACCTTACGGGAAAATAACTGAATTCATTAAAACGTTGGATTTGGTGACATAGTAATTATATGTTCAATCTTTGGACCGTGTAGTGTGTACTTGGATTCAGTGGAAACGGACGATCAGTAAGTGAGCAGTGCTAAAAAAAGACCTAGATAAGATATCCCTAAACATGACCGACCTGTGTATGACGATAAACTACACCCGCGTCTAGGGTAAGACGATGTCCGTTAGCAAGGCCTCTGATCAGGTGGTTTTCAAGAGCGTGGAACAACCTCTTAATTGGTGGTGTTCCCAGGTCCATCCTGACCAGGGGTGGTAGCACCTGTTAGGGTCCCTGCTAACGGCAAATAGTTAACCTCTAAACTGTGGTCAAAACGCTACGAAAATCTAAAAATAGGTTTTAATACTAGAAATAATTTTTGTAAAAATTATTACCAGCAATACATTAATACCAGCAATACATTTTTGGAAAAAAATACTATCACCTATACATTCTTTTGAAAAAATGAACTAAGAATAGATTTTTGAAGAGAAAATAATACCAGCAATAGATTTTTGAAGAAAAAAAATATCAGCAATACAGTTTTGGGAGAAATATTACAAGAAATAATGATTTTGTCGGCGTTTAGCCCAATGGGATGTTGATATGCCGTAAAAGCAAACCAAAGCAAAACGTATACATGATAAGTGGAACGAGAATAATCTATTTCCTGTAGATTAAAACTCGTTCAGTTGGGAATTTCCTGTTGGTTACCTGGATTGATATGCACCTGATGAATCCAGAGAACACTATGTTTTGACACCAACAACAAAGATGAGGAAATTGTCTGAATGTAACGATTAGGAGACACGTAACCATTTATGGTCGTAAGGCAGCAAATGAACTATAACAGCATTAGTGTTTCATGGGCAAAATTGCTTAACAGAGCCCAAACTCTCCAAGCTGGTTTTGTATTCAGAGTTTTCCGCTCTCCTAGACCGGTTGCCACCCAATGCTATAAGAACCAGTCTGTCCAGCTATTAATCTATGATTGGGGTGGGAGAATGGATTCTTAAATTTCCCAAGGGTATTATCCCGTAAGTGAATGTAATGAATACAACTGGAATTCGAACTCTGCTCTTCGATTCCTCAATCCGATTAGTTATCTATTACTCCGTCGTACCTCCAGAACTACCGCCCGAATGTAAATGATGATAAATCATCTTCCCAGTAAGTCAGAGAGAAATTATATCTTCACGTATAATTCTTCTTTTATGCGTCATTTACGTGTTGGGCGTTGGCGATCAAGATTCTCACTATATTAAAGCCCTTCCTACCTAGTCTGCCTTGTTGGATTTGTAAAGTTACTTGTGAGATGTTACGAATCCAGCAACCCAAACTAGATAAGAACGGTTGCTATAAAGTTCACGAACTGCCTTACTTACTAGGACTTGTGTTATTTTTTAAACGGAAGAGTGATTCTAGATTCCGTAAAGTGTCATTTTTCAGCCCTATTATAATTATTATCGAATCTGTTTCAGAACATTGATGGGACAGAATGTGTAGAATGTTTAAATATTGTTCACTGCAACGTCGGGGAGTTCCTGTTTCAGCAGAAGAAGTCGCCAAAGGGAGTCTATGAATATAAGATAGGCACACTGTGGACAAGTGCCTGTCATACCCCACTGGGGAGAAGTTCTGTGCCAAGTTCAAAAATGGAGATTTTGTCATTGAAATTGCAACTCGATCAGAGAGACTTTCAGTGGTGTCAGTTCCTGAAATTTTTGCTCCTGTTCATGAACCAATTTTCGCCGATCGATGTGATCGGCGAAAATTGGTTCATCGATATTAAATGCTTCATTCGATGAAAAGAGTCAGGGACTGCCTAATCGGAACTGTGTCGGCTTCCATCAGAACAAAATCAGAATATTTGCAAACCCTGAAAAAATTGGAATAACTTATACTACTTGATCCTGATCAAATGAAATGCTGAGATACGACAAATAGTCAAGAAATGCGTTGGTATCATAGTTAAGGGTCACTTGTTGATGCTCAATTATTTCCGGAGTTTATACAAACAGAAAAATGGTATGTACCATTTATGGAGATGGTGCCATAGCTTACAGACGTGTTCGTAAAATGTTTTCTAGGTTAAGCAATGGAAATTTTGATTTGGAAGATCGGAAACATTTGAATGCGTAAATCTTTATGTAGTGTGTGTACTTCTCAGTATCTAACAGAATAAAATTAAAGTGCCTACATTTCAAATGCTGTTGTCTGATAAAACATGATAATATCAACCATTTTTGAAAATAAATATTATAGACGATGAAAATGCATTGCATACAACAATGTGGAGCGAAAAAAAACCTTCCTGAGGAAAACATAATGAACCACCTTTCTGTATTCAAATAATGTAATTTTGTGTAACTAGTGGAGTGGTCTATTAAGCGTTATTATACCGTAAAATGTACATTGAATTTAGACAAGTAATCTTTCCAGTAGGACCGGTTATTAAATGATTCATTCGATGAAAAAGTCAGGAAATGTCTAATAGGAACGGTGTCGGCTTCCATCAGAACAAAATCAAACAGCACGAATATTTGCAAACCCGGAAGAAATTGGAATAACTTATACTACTTCCACAGCACATCATCAACGTTTCACGTTCGTAATACCTCATAGGTTGATCTCTACAAAATAATCTTAATAGAAAGAAATTCAGTTCAGTGGAATCCAATAAAAACCACTTACACCAGATGACAAATTGTGATGTCATCATGAAAGATGGTGATAGCAAGAAACAAAACAGCACAGTGAGAATAAATCTGCGTAGAAATATATAAATATTCTCTGAAATTTAATTTACAAATTTAATAATATTTCTCTGACCCAATATGTTGTGTGTACATTCCAAGTTGAATATGCAGCATTTTTCAGACCAGCCTTGGGTCCATGCAGTGGCAGGAGAAACTCAGGACAAATATCCATCAAGAATTATCATGGACAATTTCATTTTAGAGGAAATAAGGAATATATTTTGACCCCCAACTATGTTTCAAACGAATAGTTAATGCGAAATAATAATCTGACAGTATTGATTAAAGGAATCGATGAAAGAAAAAGACAAGGGAATCTATAGATATATGATGGTATGCAAAAATTTCAATTTTGAAAAGAAATTTGATATGATTGTATAGATAATCCAAGATCGAATGAGTTATGCAGACACTTTATTTTGGTTAATGTTTTAGTTTGAAAAGAACGTCTTCTCGAATGTTTAACCAGAACATTTTGGCGGTATTTTTTCAATACTTGCAGTAAAACAACCATTACCGTTTACTTATATCAGACACTGTATGCTGTATGAATTCGAAAATGTTTCTGCAGTAAATCAGCGGCAAGAAATATTAATTTGGTCTATAAAAATGCACAGTTAATTTTCTAAATATGTCAAAGTAACTTTCGTCAATTTCAATATGGAAATTTTATTCTCGATAATTGCCTTCAATGTGGATAGCCAGATTTTGTTACTGTTGTGCTTCTGCTAATCGTAGCTGATGAAAAAATAAGGAAACTACACATGAATTGGCAAAACAATACAATGTAAGTTGCACTTCTATCATAAAACATCTTTATGAATTTATAAATATCTTTAAACTTCGTTAATGGTTTCTTTATCATCTTATTAATTGTCAGATTAATAAAAAAATGTCCAAAAAATGTCAGTGATGTGTACACCTGTACCCAAACATTTCAGGGGTAGAATCTTTACTAGTGATGAAAAGTTGGTATTCAATTATCATATCCAACGAAAACAACAATGATTATCATGCATGGTAAAAAGTGAACATATACCCACATCTAAGACTATAATATTATAAAAATTATAATCTGTGGTTGACCTTATGTGAAAAATACAATCTTTCATCAAAAGTAGTAAAATAAACGGAAAAGATAATGCGGAGAAATATTGTCCTCTACTGGAAGCATTATATAAACATTTTCAGAAAAAAACGGCATCATTGATTAATAGTATATCCATATTGCACTTACTCAATAATGCATTACCATATATTGACAGAGTCACTCAAGATGAGATGATTACATTAAATATGGACGTTATGCCTCATCATTCTTTCTCTCTTCATCTTGCAAAATCTGATTATCGTTTTTTCAGACGATTGAAATCTTATTTGTAAGGAAAGAATTTATTAATTTTGAAAGAATTAAATACTGTATTTCTTGATGCATTTGGTGGGTACCTAGAGTATTTTACGCCAGAACTATAAAAATATTCAAAAAGATGTAATTATATTATCGATAAGAAGTTATATATATATATATATATATATATATATATATATATATATATATATATATATGGGGGGTGTATGTGTGAGGGCGTAGGTGTGCAAATATATAGAAAATAGGAAAGAACACGTTAGTTAAATAATCCGGGTTTCTTTAGCATTTTTGTTTTTGTTTTTATTTTTAAAAAGCAGTGCTCCATACGAAAGTACAGCTTTAATTATAATTATTTAAAAAAAAATATGATTCCTTCACTACATACGAGTTCTCATGTTTCAAAAACAAGAGCCAAAAAACTCAATATAATTATTAAAATTAAAATTAATCATGCTTATAAATTGAACATGCTTTTAAAGATGCGTATAATTTCAAGATTAGTTAATCCTAAATTTTCGCTTGAGAATGAAACAGGGCTTGATACTTTAATTCAATTTAATTTTTAATTATATATATATATATATATATATATATATATATATATATATATATATATATATATATATATTTAATTAAATATATCAATTAAACTGAAATGACATTTTCTCTTTTCTATCTTCAAATGTAACGGTAAAAGATTTTAAAATGGTGGACATTTCTGAGTGATTAAGAGGTGATGTCAGAAGTATAGGGATATTTAATACTGATATTTCAATGACTAAAAACCTTAATGTTTGGAAGTTTGAGTAACAATGCGATATGCGTTGAACTTTGGTGTCAATATGTGCACGAGCGCGTACATTTCATGGCCTTGAGTTATACTATCATCCATTCCAAGAGACCTAACATATAGCCTATGTAATTCATTATGAACGTTTCGCTATAACTCATATGATTGTTTCTGAGTACTATTTCCAGATTTATTTTTAAATGTTGTAACAAAAGAAATTTCTTGCCAAAATACATCCACAAGAAATTTGACATCTAACCATATTTTCTGACATTGTTTACACATTGCTGTCAATCGCATCTCAACATGACATTAGGTATAGGTTGTAATTACACGCACATAAAAGTATTTAAAGAAATTAAACAAAACTGAAACATAAACAGAAACTGAAAAGAAAATAGCAGAAAGAAATGAAAAGCAATAAAATAAAATATACGAAACGAAAACATATCAGAAAGAAGTAAAATAAATATCGAACAAAGGAAAGTGAATTATTAAATATAACGAGATTAGGAAATATAACGAAATTATTAAATATAATGAAATTATAAAATATAACGAAATTCGGAAATATAACGAAATTAGAAAATATAACGAAATTATTAAATATTACGAAATTAGAAAATATAACGAAATTATGAAATATAACGAAATTAGGAAATGTAATGAAATTATTAAATATAACGAAATTATTAAAAATAACGAGATTATTAAATATAACGAAATTATTAAATATAACGAAATTAGGAAATATAACGAAATTATTAAATATAACGAAATTAGACAATATAACGAAATTCGAAAATATAACGAAATTATTAAATATACCGAAATTAGGAAATATAACAAAATTATTAAATATAATGAAGATGAACGAAAGAAATCAGAGAAATATAAGGAAATACTGAATAAGACAGAAAAAATAAATATAAGGAAGGAAAAGAAAAATAATAATCACATGATGAAATATAACGGTCAAGAAGGAAATAAAATGGATATAACAATATTAAATAAAATAAGGAAGAAACAACTGTAATATAAGGAATGCAAAAAATAAGAAATAAAAAAGAAGAAATATAAAACAATGAACAGAAAAGAAATGAAGGAAAGAAAACGAATGAAAATAAATAAAGAAATAATAGAAATATAAGAATAGCAGCAAGAAAGAAACCAGAGAAATATAACAAAAAATGAATAAAAACAATTGAAGGAAAGAAACGAAATCAGAATCAGAGCGAAATGTCACGAAATATAACGAATATGAAAGAAATAAGAAGATAATAGAAATGAAAAATAAGGAGGAAATAACCGAAAAGTAAAAACAGCAATAAGAAAAAATAACCGAAATATTGTAAAAAATGGAATAAGAATTAAATATCTGAAAATATATCAAGACAAAATTGAAAAAGAAAAAGTGCTAGAAATATAAGGAAAGAAACAGAATAGGAATTAAATAACTGAAATATAACGAAATAAAATGAACAAGAAACAACCGAAGCATAAAAAGATATTCAATGAGGAATAAATAACATGTACGTTAGGAAATGAGAGAAATAAGAATGAATTAACAAAAATATAACGAAAGAAAAAGAAAGAAAATAAATCCCGGAAATATGAAAGAAAAAAAAATTAAATATCCAAAAATATAACGAAACAAAAACAAAATGAAAATAAAATCGAAACAAGGAAATTAATAAAATTAAAAACAGAAATACTAAAAAACGAAATGGTATAAGAAAGAAATAACAGAAATAAATAAAAACGAAAAAAAGGTAAGAAGAAAATAAGAAAAAAACAGAAGAATACTCAAGATAACGAGATACTATAAGGGAAGAAAATTGTTTAGAATAGGAAAAATAGAAATATGAGAAAAATAAACGAATAACGAATAACAGAAATATAACAAAAAGGAATAATACAGAAATAACAGTTACAGAAATAAAGGAAATGAATATGACAGAAATAATAAAAAATATACGTTTGAAAATAATTAATAACGAAATAAGGAAGGAAAATAATAAGAACGACTAAATAGAAATCTAAAGGAAAAATAGTCATAAAAATATATTAATAGTAATATATAAAAAAGGAAATATACAAGAACTTAATAAAAGAAATAAAATTAAAGCAACCGAATAACGATGAAATAACAGAAAGGTGGGGAAAGAAAAGGTTAAGAAACAAATAACGGATATATAAGTAAAAAGGGGAATAATTAGAAAATAACAGGCCTATCAGAAGATGAATAAGAAATAAATAATAGAAAGAGAAGGAAATAAATGGAAGAATAAATTAAAAATAGAAAGACAAGGAAATAAATAAAAGAAGAAATTAATAATAGAAACATCAAAAAAGAAAACGTATAAGAAAAAATATCAAAAATATAAAAGAAAAGCAATAAATAACCAAGAGATATAATACAAAGAAACATCTAGCTAATCAGAAAGTTAATAAAAAGACGAAATTACAAAGAAAGAAATATAGCAGAAAGAAAAGGACGGAACAAGTAATAAATTAATTAACAGAAATAAAGCGAGAGAAACAGAAAATAATTTAAAAAAAAAAAAACTATTTCGAAAAGATGAAACAATATAATGGCTCTGAAAAATAGGAATACATATTGAAACTTGAGTAATAGAAAATATCGAGAAAGAAAAATAAAGACACTTAATTCAAATAATCTGATAAAAATAGAGGCCGGGAAAGACGAATAGGATTAAAATACCACAGGGAAAACATACGTTAATAGGATATTAAAAGGATATACAGTAGTCATCCCCTTTGTTTGCGGAGTTATGATCCAAGATCCCCAGCAGAAGCGTAAAACCTCGGATGGTACGGTACTCTATCTATATATTTTTCTAAAACTACAAAAATAAATGATGTCATATATGAATATCAAACTTTCTAATCCGACAGATATATTTTGTCTACAATGATTTTGATTTTTATATACCTATGGTACCCTCTTTGCAGTAGCGATGTCAAGAAGCAGTTGCTTTTTTTTATAACAATGGCCAATAGGTTCAAGGTATTTACGAAGGAGAGAAGTGAAATGACGGGCCCAATGAAAGAAAAGAGAAATAATGATAACATTGACCGACACGTGTTTTGGTGAAAACTTGTAATTTTTCTTATTTAATTTTTGAACTCTAATTTAAAAAATAAAGGTCATTTTTATTGATTACCTCTACATTTTGCTGGAGAGAAAATGTTTATTTAAAGCAAAATGATAATTATATTAGTCCTTTCCTATTTCAGTAGCGGATCAAATTTGTCGATTTCGCATTCCATCAGACACAAAGCAAGAACTTCTGTAAATGGAGTCTTATCTTTCGTCAAAATCAAATTTCTCATAATGTTGAAATTATTTCTGAATGCCACCTGCAAAAACCATGAATGTTATTGAATTCCAGATTTTTATATTATGATAATTCCTGATGATATTAACAGATTAATTTCACTGTTCTATGTTGTGGTGATTTTCTAAGGATAGATTAGATGAGTCAAAAACCGGAAGTATGGGATTCTACTATTCTGTCGCAATTGATCTACCGAGACAAGCTCACTAACCATTACACTACGTCGAAGTGCCCGAACTGTTTTAAGTTATTAATGGAAATAATATAGAATACTTGGATATAATCATTTTTCAGAGGCTATACCAAACATTTTTTATATAAGTTTAAGTTTGTTTATGATAAAATTTAATTTTGTTTAAGTTAGTGATCAGCAGAGATAAAAGATTCCACAAGGATATTAAAGTTATGAAAAAACCGAATGAAATGAAGACAGGACAAAAGAATGATGGCTGACTAATCCAGGAACTTAAAAAGAGTACAGAAAAACCAATCAAGCCTTCATAAAAAAAATAAGCGAAAGTTTTGGCCATGTCTACTAATTTCTCTCAGCAATCCAATTTTTATTGTCTTATATTTCTTTCGCATTACAGAAATTGTGTTTTATTTCTCGCTTACGGTGGAGTAATAGATAGCGGCTCGGATTGAGGAATCGGAGAGCCGAGTTCGAATTCTACTTGAATCCATTACATTCACTTACGTGCTAATACCCTTGGGAAAGATATGAATCCTCTTCTTCTAAGCTATGGGTAACTAGCAGGACAGACGGGGTTCTATAGCCTTGGATGGCAACTGATCTACCGCAGAAAGAAATAACTGCCTACTGCGGGAAGAAAAATCTGCCTCGTCAGTCATGTATCGAAAGATACATGATCACTGAAGCGTGTATCACACATGGGACATAACTGACTAACTGATTGTTTGCTTTTAAGCTTCGAATGACATTTTATTTTCTCTTCACATTTACAGTGACCTAACCCAATCATAACCATTTTATGTAAGATATATTATCCTGTAGCAGGAAACCTAACGTTAATAATGAGAAACTGAAGTTATTTGTGGATTTAACTACCCCAAATTGTTGTAAATAGTTAAAACATCCCATGTTTCGTTTTAAAAATATTTTGTATGTCCGTGAAATTAGAAAAACAAAACTATATTTAAAATATCGTCACTTTTATGCCATAAGTAAACTAATATTAAAATAAAAGTTATTTGATAAATGAAGGATTCGTTCTCACTGGAGATATTAGAAAATTTAGCATATGATTTCTATTTTCTTATCAATTCGAAAAATTTCATATCTGTTTTGAAATTCGAAAGGCTTCATTTTTTTTCAGTTAAAGAAACCACTTTGCGACTACTTTTTGTTAGAATATCACAACAAACAGTATCATTTGCGTTGGCATTTAGCCCCATATAAAGCGATAACACGTATATTATGGCTTCGGTCTAAAGCCGAAAGTATCTATTTGTATTTCTGAATATTCTTTGTAATAAATGTTTTAACAACTCCCTTCTCTCTCATCAGTCCTTTTAATTATTTTATACTATTGTTTTCCAAAGAAAATGCCCAGAAACCACTTAGTTTAGCGTGTTATTGAATGATGTTATCGCAAGGACACAAATAGACGAAGTTAGACGTCAATATTATGAAGACATAAGATAAGGGTCGAAACAAGGCATGAAGCTGTTAAGATCGTAGTGATCGGGAAAGTATTGTTTGGAAGTCTGTTCCACAAAGTAACAGTTCCAAGGAAGAAGTTGTTGGGTGGAACTTCCTTTTTACTAGTGGAATATTTACGGAATGAATATGATTCGACCGTGTGCACGTGGCATGGCGCGTACTAGACGTGAAGGTCTAGACTTGAATGTCTATATTGGTGAAACTAAGAAATGTAGCTCGTCGGAATATTTACCATAGAAATATCAATAGAGAAAAGAGAGGCTAACACCATTTCGTCTATGGAAAATCAGTTTAAGGGTAGAAAATAATCCATCACTTACAAGGCTGCGTATTTGCTTTCGAACTCTGGTAAAGCTTGAAAGTGAGGATTTGAGTAAAACCAGAAATTCTTTTATTTGCTCTGAAAGAGCCAACTTTAAGGAGGATAGCACTACATATAAACAACGTAAAAACGACTTATTATTAAATAAAAAGTACAAATCTTGAGAGGAAAAAATAATTCCGATACTTCAGTCATTACTATTTACTTAGAACTGGGTAAATGTCATCATCTTCGTTGTTACTAATCAAAACGTTTCGGTCGCTGTACGCCTTGGTCTTCTTCAGGTGCCTGTCGATCCGAGTATACTTCAATGAGTTTCGAAATGAATAGTGTGATAACAACAAAAAATGAGGAAATTCAGACATGCTGGAGAGTAAAACGAAATGTCGTAACAGGAACAACAATGATGATATTAATCCGATTCTGAATTATATAATGATAGCACATCCCATAAATTCGGAGAGAAAATTGTCATTTTTACTGTACTGTTAACGGTAATAAGGTCGGATAACAGAAAAAATATGAAGCTCTAGCATTTAGGAGAAAAAAAATTACTTTGAAATAGCTAGATATAACCGTAAGTTTTATTCTAATATTTTATTGTCTGGTACTTATCGTCTATGGAGCTCTCTCCCAGGTTTTTGCTTTCCTGCCACCTACGTTATTTAAACATTTAAATGAAACGTCAATCGCCATCTTCTGTCTTTCTCAAGGTATTCTTTTATTGTTTTTTCTCCTCAGTAAAGTCTTTTCATACTTCTTCGCTCTGAGTAACCTTTTATGTCTTAGTGACATTATCACCTTGCTCGGGGGCAATGATTAAAAAAAAAAAGAAAAACATATGATTTTTAATAACAAAAACGATCATCCTATCCAATTTATATAATCCTAGTAGCTTATTTTTGACAGTTTCTATGCTATCGTCATAATGAGTCGGCTTGTCTTCTTCAATGTTCACAGTTTGAGTAACTTTTGCAAGTTCTTCATATTATTCTGATATAGTTTCCCGTTTTTCTATGCTGTAACGATCATATTATTTGTTTAGCAGCTTTGCTTCCAACTCATAATTTAGTTAGCAAATCTCATGGTGGTTGCCAAGATTAGATGAAGCAATCTATCTGCATTTCAGATTAACCCAAAATCTTCCGGATTATTCTAATATCTTTCCCGAAAAAATCAAGTTTCCTTAGCAGTTCAAATAGTTCTTTGTATCGTGCCTTATCAAATGCGTATTCTATGAAACATATATAAAATATTGATAAAATTCTATCAACAAATCAATATCTTTTCTTAAAGTAAATACAGCAGAGAAACACTTCTTGATATTAATGCCCTGGGAAACATAGAATGAATTACCAGAGGAATGATATCTTCGGGATAATGGCTTTTGCTCTCAATACATGAAATGATGAATTTTAGGTTTACGGGGATTCACATCGTTAAACAGATGGCTACGCGTTCCACTGATTGTGAGTGTCCATCTTTGAGTTTCTTGAAATCTTCATACTGAATTCGTCCAGCTGATATCAATTAAATATTTATAAAAGAAACTTCAAAGATGTTTTATTATTCTACCTACCATCTCTATTAAAACTGCAATTGAAAAGATTTTATCTCAGCTTAATATAACATTTGTTACAACTACTTCTAAAGCAATACGAGACTTAATTAATACAAAACAAAATAATAAAAAGCTAAAACTTGAAGAAGTAATTGACTTAATCACCTGTAATATTTTCCACAAGGAGTACATAGAAAAATTCCGAGGAACTTATATAAATGATTATATAAACACAAAAGAGATCTTTTACAAACAACAAATTAAACACATTAGTTGCTCACTGTAATGAGGCTCGCCACAATTTTGATTTGAAAATGCTTCTGCTTGAAAAGAGAAAGCAAATTACTTTTTCGAAATTGTATAGAAAGTGCTTTAATCGCTAGATCATCCACAGTAAATATACTTCATGATTCACTTCTGTTGGCGTATCTCTTATCACAATGTAGGATATTTTATAACAAAAATGATAACAACATAAACAAAAAAAATAAAATAAAATTGT